TTTGGCTCATGAAAGTACTCGTACTCTCATTGAGATATATATTGGGATGTTAAAAACTAGATTTAGGTGCCTACTAAAACATCGTATTTTACATTCTGCTCCAGAGGTAGCTGCAACATATGCGTAGTTGTGCATAATTCATATATAGAATGCAATGTCTCCGAACCCAATGAACATGGCATTGATGATATCGATTTCAGTATATTTAATAACATAAATTACGATGATTATGAAAGAAATATTCCAATGGGAAGAATAAATCCAGAACTTGCCGTGGGTCGCCAGGCAAGAAAAAACTGATACAAGGCTTTTTTATTAATTTTTTGTAAAACTAAATAACCATATAGAATTATATGAATTTAATTAATATACTGGAAAACTGAATAAAATAAAAATATTTTTAGATAAACTTAGATGATAACAAAACATTCATAAACAAACACGAAAGAAAAATGAATATTTAAATTTCTAATTTATTGGCAATCCTTAGAAGCGATTCGGAGCATTATTTATGATCATCTGCAATCTCCTGCATTATTGCTGTTTTTTTTGTAATAATGTTTCATTTTGAGTTTATCTTTTAAAAAACTGCCATAGACATCGACAGCTTCAGAGGTTTTTTTTTGTTCATTTTGTAGATCGTCTCTTTGGAATTCTCCTTGGCTTAGGAATATTATCTTGGTCTTGAGTTTGATTATCTGTAAATTCATTTATTTCCATATTTGAAGCCACTTTATCTACAAAACAACAGTCACTTCATATAATATATACCGAATATGGGATTTTATATATTTACGGTATTGACATAATTTATTGGATATATTTTTGTATATTATATTCAAACCTACCTACTATATCGTTTAAATTTTCATTTTCAAATATCACAGAAGATTCTTCTAACAATACTGATTTTATTATTTCTAAAATGGATTCATCTTCCTTTGTTAAAGGATCCTCTATTTTAGTTTGAGACCTCATATCTTGCCAAGTCTATAAATTCTTATTCAGAATAATTAGCATAATGTTTTAACGTGATATATTATCTTTCTCCAATGTGTCCAGTCATTTTTAGCACTTGGCATGCTGTTTAGGATTAAACCAATATCGGACCATTTCTTTTCTGCATCTTTATACGTAAAAGTATTGGAAAACTTTACACTAATTAAATTGTTTTCCCTTTTCACGTATTCAATTAATGTTTATTTTTGAGTTTGTTATTTTCATAATTTTTATGATATAATTTCAATCAAATTTGGCATTTAAATTTTATTGATGACGACAGAATACATAAAACTGACAGATATAACGTTATCAAATTTGTTCATTCACTTTCATTTCAACCATGTTAATAAGATTACGATTGCATATGAGAAAACCAAATTTAAGATTAATTAGTTCTCAAATCACTCGATTCGAAGCGTAGGTTGAATCATTGCGAGCGAAGTTAAGAATAGGTCTCCTGATTGTATTTTTAAAGCCTAAGTCCGACAGATATAGAGTTAAGAAATCCAAAACTTTCACCACACAAAGTTTTCGTCAGAAGCAGAAAATGAAAAGTATTTCATAATGAAGGTAAAAGAAAATCAATCCAGAAATTTTTTTCAATAAATTTAATATATTTTCCTTTATTTAGGTAACGATGATTATTAGACGAAGTAGGAGGGATGAACTAAAGGATTTACGTTTATAAAATGTAAAAGGTAAAGACTGGGTTTTTCGATTTGTTATACGAAAACTAAAATTACTCTGGATATTTTTGTTACATCTGCGAATTTATAAGGAGTGAATATGGTTCAGTTAGTTTGGAAATATGCTGAATGCATCCAAATCACACAAATCATTGTCGTTTTTTTATCTCATAGAAACAACAAATAATATGAATCAACCAGTTGGAATTTACACATTTGGAAATATTCTAAAACTATCGCTACTATTCTGAAGAACTTGCTGATCTGGAGGAATAAACTAGCCATTGCTTCGGGGAGTCTTCCTCCTTGTTTAGAAATTCCGGAGCAGAAATTAAAGAAATCGTAGCTATTTTTTTTACAAAATATCTGAGTACACCTCTGGATTAAACGCCCCTGAAAGGGACGTACCAAATTTCATAAAAAATATTGCATATTAATAATTTTGTGGCAAAATTACAAATCACATTCTTGTTATGAATTTATTTCTTCTGATGAAACAAGCCATGTAATAAAACGTCAAAAATAACTGAAAATAATTATTTTTATTCGTAACAATATTCAACAAAATTATTGGAGTTTCAAAATAGAAAAGCTAATCAAATTCTTGTTGCTTCCACCAATCCGTCGTTTATTTCAAGGCACATCATACCTTTTTCGTATGTTCGTGGTTACTCTTCTCAATTGTTCTGGGGTAACATTTGCACATGCTTCGGTTACTCTAGCGCGTAGTTCTTCTGACTGTGGTCTTGATTTATAAACTTTTTGCTTAAGGATGTCCCAAAGGAAAAAGTCGAGTGGCGTCAAGTCCGGTGATCTTGGCGGCTATTCAATAAGAGGACTGTTTCTTTCTATCCACCAATTTTCAAAATTTTCGTTCAGTCGTTCTCTCACCACTACTGCGTTATGCACGGAAGACCCATCTAATTGAAACTTCAAATTCAAGCGAACCAGATGTAAGTCATGCAGTGCGTTCCAAAATTTATTTCTTAGAAAGTTCAAAAACAGATGTCCATTCAAATTACCCTCAAAAAAAAGGACCAATAATTCTATTATCAAGTATTCAGCACCATACATTTATTTTATGTGAATACTGGCTCTGCGTTTATGACCCACTAAGGATTTTCAACAGATCATTACCATGAATTTTGGGACGACACCACCCCATTGATTGTAAACGTGGCCTCGTCACTGAACAAAATTTCCCTTAAAAAGTTCCTATTTTCCAGATATTCTCCCTGGGCTTACAAATAGAATTCCAATCTTCTTTCCTCATCTCCCTGTTGAGGAGTATTCACAAATTTAGGTTTAAACGACTTTATTTTATTTTTTACAAGCTACCTTCTAATATTTTCTCTAGGGATATTTATAATATAATAATGAGCGAATATTGGAATATTTTCACAATAATACTAATTCGAGCTTGAGAACGGCTGGTCTACCGTTCTCAAGCTCGAATTAGTATTATTATGAAAATATTCCAATATTCGCTCATTATTTCTAATCTCCCGACGTGGATTATTTCTGTTTTTGAGAATATGCCTTGATACACTGCCTGTTACGTTAAAAACTTTATTTATGTGGTGTACAGTACTGCTGCTCACTGCAGGTCTATCGGGATGTCTGTTATTAAATTCTCTGGCCGCATCTCTTCCCGAAAGAACATTATCGCAAACAAGACGCACAAGTTCAATTTTATCTCTTACACTTAGTTGTTCCATAATGACACCACTAAGTTGTACACTTTTTACAATATTTTTAAAGGCTCTAATCTGATAGAACTAAGGCTTTAAGTCACTTTCTGATATTGTCAGTTATTTTTGACGTTTTATTCCATGGCTTGCTTCATCAGAAGAAATAAATTGATAACAAGAATGTGATTTTTAATTTTGCCACAGAATTATTAATATGCAATATTTTTTTATGAAATTTGATACATTTCCATTTTAAGGGGCGCTTAAGCTAGAGGTGGACTCAGATATTTTGTAAAAAAATAGCTAATACGATTTCTTTATTTTTCACAATGACTTCACTGAAGTCATTGATTTTTCATCCCTAAAAACTTACGCAGTGGGCCTTGGTTTTTGTAAAAAAAAATGTGACACTTTGTCCTAAAGTACAGTTTTTCTCGCTCTACAATCCAAAAAAAGTCAGTCAAAATCGGACGATAAATACAAATTTTATGGGGATGTTCTGCTTTCAAGTGGGGCACACTGTATGATTTTTTAAATCAACTGATTCAAGCAACACTAATGAATAAATCTTAGCAGCGTTTAGTATTTAGTGTGAAAGTTTTCTTATAGTTTTTCTGTCGTTTTCTTGTTATTGTTTATATGCGAAAATCAAAAAAATTAATTTCAGGTATTTACCTTGGACACCAACAAAACTCATGTGTGACAAAAACCTCGATTTGTCAAAGTTTACACTTTTATCCATATTTTCTGTCATCATTTTCACATATTGGTAACATTTGAGTTATTCATTTCTATGATTTTCAGGGAATTGTTTTTGTTTAGGTGCACGTCCATTCTTTGTGGAGTCATGCGTGGTTTAAATTTTCCTGTTGAACCTGGTGGCCCAGGCAATAATACACGGTTTATTTCACTGGTACTGAAACTGAATATATTTTGAGAATGGCCAGTTTACTGCTAATACGTATCACTTACTAGCTCCCTTAGCCATGTTCTCTTTATTATCTTACTGTCTTTCACCAGGGGACGTTCAGTCATGCCATCCCCAGTTTTGGTTAAAGGTAAGCGCACATTAGTACACCAACAGATTTTTCATCTTCCACCAACGCTGGCAACGAGTTTCTAACTTCGTAGCCATCTTTCGTTGTTTTGTGATTAACTTCTCTGCAAACTACCGATGTGATGTCATCCGCGTTTAAAATGAATTTATTTTGTCAATTCATATTGTAATATTATTAAGATTTTATTTTTAACTTTTACGTATTTCCAACGATTTTTTAAGATAAATTGTTATTGTTAAACACAGATTCTACAAAGATGTTGACTTAGTGCAACAACCGAATTTTGTGAAAAGAGTACAACATACAAAACAAAAATGAGCAAATTAATATCTGGAATATTGCAAAATTTTCGACACCAATGTCTGGTATTAAGTTGTCAAATTGTAGTAATTATATTGTTTATGTTTGTCGTTAAATTATGTGAATAATTCGAATAAATTTTCCAAGATTTTGCATTAACTTGTTCTACTTCTAATGGACCACATTAGTTGGGACGTCATATAATTAATAATAAATAATTATGCAAATTACATGAAAGAGTCATGACACACTGGTTGTGTTGTGGCTTTATGGCGGAGTGGTAAGGACACTAGCCTCTCACCCTTGAGTCCCGGGTTCAATCCCCGGTCGAGGAGCTAGGATTTTTTCTAGACCAGAAATTAATCCTAGCATACTGTAGACCTGTCCCACACAAAGTACGTTGAAATACCTTAGGGATACTGGAGGTTGTATTACCTGTGGTAATTTTTAATTTAAAAAAATATCTAACACTGGAACTTGACCCTTATGCTCGTGAACATAAAGGCGAAATTTTTGACAGTTATTATTACACAGCACAGAATTTTCTTTTTTTTTTCTCTCCTTTAAAAGAAATATTTAAGAACTTTTACTTACCATCCACAATGTACAAAATATATATAAATATAGAACATTACAGTAATTTTATTTTTATTATTATTAACAAAATTTCTATAGTGCAACGTATTGTATATTATATTCTAACGTATTTTGTGCATAGTGGATGATAAATAAAAATTCTTAAATATTTGTTTCAAGGTCAAAATAAAATGCTGTGCTGTGTTCTAACCGTCAAAAACATATGGTATATTTTTGAAATCAAGAACCAAGGATCAGTCCAAAAATTTAATAATATACAGGGTATTCCATTTAAAAAATATATTATTTTTTTTATTCCCTGAAATCTGCACGCTACTGTACTCTTGATAACATTTAAACAAAATTCAATCATAACCACATAACTTCTATTTAATTTTTTTTTCTATACGCAATAATAATGATAAGGGGTGGATAATTTATAATGAATAACCCTGTAACTTCTTTTTTCTTTCATTCATTATGTCTCTTCTAGTGTTATCACATTCACCAAATTTAATGTGTTACCTAAAATGTTATTGACAATCTTAACTGCCAAATTGGGAAAGTTTCCCACACACATACATACACCCTTCCAAGGAAGAACAAGAAAAATTAAAGCATGCCACAAATAACGTTTAGATGATATTGTTATTATATATTATTAATATATCATTTGTGCGAAGTTTTAAAAACTTATTTAAAAGCTAAACCCAACTTGTTTTTATTGAACAAAAAAAATAACTGATAGCCAGCGATAAAACAAAAAAGTAAGCAGCAGAAAGTTACACTATAAGTAAATGAAATTAGTTGTTAAAGGAATAACATTTTAATGTATTTTAGAACTGAATTTTCATTGCGAAGTAAGAGTTATATTATTATTTAGTTTTACTTTTTACTGTAGTGTGATACTCTAGTTTCTTTTATAAGTTAAGTACAAGATAAGAGAAAATTTATAGCTGGCTTGTGCCAGCGGCATGTACAACATTGAAACACTTTCCTATTTTATGGATGTATTAAATTGGATACACTGAACTGGATAGATGTTCTTATTAGACGGCTAAGCTTTATTTTTAACACGCTTTTATTAGCTTCACTTGTATGTTTGTTTGTTTGTTTGTTTGTTTGTTTGTTTGTTTGTAACCGACTCTTTGGACTCGATTTTGACCCACTTTAAACGGACAGATTTAATTGAAACTTACGAAGAACCAGTAACAATACAATAATTTGATAAGTTTATATCATTATCCTGATCAGGATCGCCAGTCCTTTCCTCACGTATCCTCTGCGTGAGAGCAAAAGGCTTAATATTGTAAGTATATTCCGTGATTCTCAGTTCGGTCGTTGGCCGAGCGGGCAAGTCTTAGTCGACCCGAAACAACGGACTCCTCGGGCGTGAGTTCAAATCACATGGCTGAAATAAAAAAATATTTTTTTTTTCAGAAATATCTGTTGGATCGTAATATGTTATAATATCAGCATCAATAAGCAATATAAATATAGTTTAAAAAAACTACAAAACACGCTTTCATAGTACATCAAACTAAAAAGTGGAAAATAAATATAGTTTAAAAAACTAAAAAACACGCTTTTAAAGCACATCAAACTAAAAAAGTGAAAAATAATTATTAATATAAACTGAAAACAATAATGAACGAAAAATACTAGTATTATTGTGAAAAAAGCGTGGGGAGCTTTGTGCCATATTTTTCGTATATCGAGCAACCCACGATTTTTTTCACAATAATACTAGTATTTTTCGTTCATTATTGTTTTCAGTTTATATTAATAATTATTTTTCACTTTTTAGTTTGATGTACTTTAAAAGCGTGTTTTTTAGTTTTTTTTAACTATATTTATTACGCATGAGATTCTATTTCATCATTAGCCTACGTTTCTTTGCTTAAAAATCAATATTTAATCAAAAAAACCATATTATTAATTTACACTGTTCACAGAAAGTTAACGATATTGGAAAATCACACTTGAATCCATGCAAACAATTTTGTTCATATGTATGCTTCTACATGGTGTTTATAGGTCCAGAATAAAAATGTTATGTATATTTTCACTGCATTCTTGTTATTTCTAATTTTTGAATATATACAATTAATATCACCGGCACACAAAAAAAAAAGTGTTTTGTGGATTTTACGCCACCTACCTCCCGACATGTATTTCGACCCGCTGAATCCGAATTTGAAGTCAGTTTGGACCGTACACCCTCAAATATCGAGTAAATTGAAAAACCGTAAAAAAATAGCAAAAATTGGGTGTTTCGGTAATAAAAAAAATTTTGTGGATCTAAACCAAGCATAATTTTTATGTATTTCGATCCGCTGAATACGAATCTAAAGTATATTTAGACCATAAGCCGTTTTAAATCTAAGTAAATTGTAAAAAAACCCTCGAAAATTGCTAAAAATGGCAACAAATTGTGATTATGTTGATGAAAAAAATTTTGTAGACCCGGATTGAAGAGGATTTTTATGTAATTTGATCTGCTGAATCCGAATCTGAAATATATTTGGCCCATTAATCCCTCAAAATCTCAAAAAATCGCAAAAACCGATAAAATAGCAAAAAATTGCAGTTGAAAAAAATTGAAAAAAATCTATGAAACACGATTAAATACGTTTCCTGTATTTTTTTATGCATAAAATACAAGTTTAGAATCTGAAAATGTGAAAAATTGTAAAATCTATAAAAAATGACGTATAAACAGAATGAAAATTTTTTTCATCAACATAATCACAATTTGTTGACATTTTTAGCAGTTTTCGAGGGTTTTTACAATTTATTTAAATTTAAAACGGCTTATGGTCTAAATATACTTTAGATTCGTAATCAGCGGATCGAAATACATAAAAATTAGGCTTGGTTTAGATCCACAAAATTTTTTTTATTACCGAAACACCCAATTTTCGCTATTTTTTACGGTTTTTCAATTTACTCGATATTTGAGGGTGTACGGTCCAAACTGACTTCAAATTCGGATTCAGCGGGTCGAAATACATGTCGGGAGGTAGGTGGCGTCAAATGTACAAACAACTTTTTTTTTTGTGTGCCGGTGATCATTTTGTAGTTAATTGTGTTCAAGTTCGTTTGAAACGTATACTGTTTAGTTTTTTAATAAATATGGAAAAAAGGCGTCATTTATACAACCTGATGCCAATAGGGCTATTGGTATGCTCCAAGCCGTTTTGTGTTTGCTACAGAACTTATGTTTTTGAGGTCAAGTTCCAATCATACAGATAGGCAAGCAGTGTGTCATGACTGTTTTACGTAGGTTATATAATTATGTGACGTCACATTAACGACTGCTGTTACTGAATACCATAATGGATTTATTATGGTGCTCAATCCGAAAAAGTATGTCATTTTGATATTCAAATTGACGTTCATAATGTTGTCATTATGACACGTTGGCAGATAAAAAAATTATTTATACAGTTTCAGAGGTCTATACATGCTACTTTGATAATACTTTCTATAATTCACAAACTAAAGTACCAATAAACAAATATAACCCAGTTAACTTTTTACGTATATTTTGAGCCAATAAAAGATAGTCTTAAAGTTGTCATAAATAATAAATGTAGAAGTTAAGAGCTCGGTAGTGCAGTTAACTAGAGTGTTGAGTGACGAACGTAGCTGGTTTTGCTGTCTGCCGACTCTCGAGTTCAAATCTCGGCTTCGATCCTGAGAAAGTCGAAGGGAGTGGCTATGCGTCCGCGTTTTTTAACAGTGCAACCCACCCGTGCAGCTCCAGCTTTGGATTTGGGGATTGTCTAATTCATGTGGTGGTATTTTTTATGTTTTATGTTTTTATGTTAAATGTCAAATCAGTTCACAACTTTTATTTAAATGAAGCGATCTACAAAGATTATGCTAGGAATAAAAGATCTGTTTTTATGGCCGACATTTGCTAGAATACAATTTTCGTGAATGTGTCGCCCTTAAACTGTAATTTTATACAACAAAATTTACAATAAAAATCACATCATAAATTCTTTAGTATCACGTTTATAATGTAGATTTTATAAAAATAGTATAGGTAAGAATTAAGTTTCTGAGCACACCACTGGATAAGATTTTGATTGATATAATTATAATTTTAACGACTTTCTCGGACAGATGTGGGAGGTTACTCAACTGGTTATGACCTGGTGGATACCATTCTAGGAAGCAAACATGTTAACTGCCCAGATTGTTAATTTAGAGCTAAAAATATGAAATACTATTTATGGGGACTTGTTTCCTAATTATATTTACAAATTCCTTACTTATAAACAATAAATTCAAGATATTTACTAAAAACTAAAATATAAAACAAATAAGTATTGATACTTTAATCAGAAAAAATATAATGTATAATTAATAAGAAATTGTCAAACTACTAAATATTTATTGTGTTTTTGCTTATTACTTTTTAGATATATTTATAACAGGTAATTTAAGTTTAACTGAAAATGCGATTAACCTATTATCAGTATGTGGGGATTAATAACATGTTGCTTTTATAAATGGCTATAAATGTGTTGTATATGAATTTTAAGAAGTTTTAGTAATATCTAGTACTCTTTCGAACACATAGGTGGCCAGAGGTGGACACGGGGGGTGGGAAATGGTGATCGTAAGCTCCAGCACCCTTTGAAACAAGAGATTATATATTTCAACTATTTTTTGTTATAGCAAAAATTAAATGTAACATAATATGTTATATTATGGGATATTAATTGTTTTTTGTATAGGGAGTGCGTCC